AAAAAAAAAAAGAAAAAAAAGAAAAAAAGACGAGAAAAAAAAAAAAGAAAAAAGAAATGTATTACCGATAAGCGTATTATTTAGTAACTATAAAAAGTGTGCACATGATTTAATAACTTATGCACTAAAGTGATCATAACTTCTAAGAATCACTTTGTATTGAATTGTAAGTGAAATGTAGGAATACACCATAAAACAGTATAGATTGCATATGAATGTTTTACCAGAACGAAAATAATTATTGACTAAATATAATGAGCGAAACTTCCATTGTAGTTTATATTGTGAATTTTAACATATTTTAATGATATTATTTGTAAATAAATCTTTTTTCCTCTCTTAAGTTCGCATCCATGTTGAAATACTTATTTAAAACAAAAAGATGCAAAGCCTTTATCATAGTGAGTCACCTTCTCTCGTATCTTTCAAATATATTTGAAATTTAATTAATAATTTAAGTTTTGACGAAATGAATTTAATTGATAATTATGTTATGTAAACTTGAGTATGTTGTATCAAATAAAAGGATTTCAATCAAGATTTGTTTCCATATGAAATCTACTGCTACTAAAAAGTGTGTTCTTCCCATTCATAAAATATATAAGCATTTAATACTATCCGCAAATTTTCTTCTTAAAATGATCTTTTATTAACAATATTGTAATAATGAATATTATGTATATTATTATTGTAGATATAGTAATTATAAAACAGAGTATGTTGACAACATTAGAAATATAAATATTAGATAAATATTGGAAATTGTTTCGGCGGATATAAAAAAAAAAAAATACATAAATTTGTGAATGGAGAAGAAGATAAATAGATGGAGTACAATCTGATTTTTGACATTTTGGATTAACATAAGTATTAAATTTGTATTTACTAAATCAGGGGCACCCAACTATGGAAAATTCCCTCTAAAGAGAATTTTACAATTTTTAACGGGGGCAGCGTATTTAAAATACCAGTTTGTTTGAAATGAATAAAAAATTACAGCAACTGGTTTTTTAGCGCACTCTATGTTGAGGTCTCCGTATCAAAATTAACCTGATGTTAATCATTAGTGATGTCACAGCTAAGATGTATGAATATCTATATACGTCGTTAAGTGCACGCATACTCGGAGAATATTCAAAGCCGATTTACTCGAAGAGTAAAGTCTCAAACGAAAAAATTTTATTCTTTACTTTTAACTTATTTTTTTCATGTAGAATCACCTGCACTGCGCTTATACTACCAACGCAGGGACGTATAAAATCAATAATAATGAAATATATATTTCTGTATAATGGATTCTTAAATATGAGATAAATATAAGATAAATAATGTCTATAATTCATAACATAAAATATAACATAGTAACAAGTAACTTTGCAAAATGTTATACTTTCTAGATAATATTTTTGAACAGTTTCAATTATTAAATAAAAATATGAATAAAATAATGAACAGTTGCTTGAACCTGAAATGAGGTAAATGGACATAGTAAACTACGGAGACTTGCTATTGGTTATTTCAAGATATAATAATACATTGACACGTGCCAAAATATTTAGTATCATAACCTTAAATTTAAACTGTCAAGTTTTTAATGTACATATCATAAAATATCTACTATAGCATTATGATAGATACAAAGAAAACAATTATACAAAAATTCAATACGGAATTGGGGAGTGATTTAAAAGGCCTTAATAAAATATATGAATTTCACCAATCTCTTAATGCACAGAAAAGTAAAATTAAGGAGTCGGTATGTATTTGAAGATGTATCATTCTGTTAGGATTCTGTCAA